TCGGCGTCAGGCTGCGGTAGCGGCCTGGCGAAGCCTTCTCCGGCCCCTGGGGTGAGCGGTGGGCTGTCTCTCGGGCGGCTCTCATTAGCCCGCTGTGGTTTCTCTGCAGCAAGACCAAGGTGAAAAGGAGAACCCCATGCGAGAGCTGCGCATCCGCAAGCTCTGCCTCAACATCTGCGTTGGGGAGAGCGGGGACAGGCTCACCCGAGCGGCCAAAGTGCTGGAGCAGCTGACGGGCCAGACCCCCGTCTTCTCCAAAGGTGAGGAGCGGGTTTTCCTGCCGGCTGCCGAGGGCGGGGGGCGTGTGCTGGGGGTCGCAAAGGAGCGGTTTGTCTGCTGGCTTCAGCGGTGGCGGCTTTCCGTCCTCTCCCCAGCATGTAGAGGGTGAGGTGGCAGTGCAAGTCAGAGGGAGGAGGCTCCTTGGCAGAGCCGGTGTGGGGAGGTCTGCTCTGATGCATCTGAGGGTCTTGTTGTGAGCACTGGGGGCCTTAAATATTCAGGTGCTCGGGGTCGTTTCTGTCAGTTCTGCTCTCATCCCCAAAGGGACAGTGGGTTGCCTTGGTTATTTTCCGTTCCTTTGAAGTCATTTCTCCAGTCTTAAGCAAGCTCTGAACCCCACTGGGTGGTAATTCTTTGAATAGCTTCTGAGTGTAATTATTGCTGCCTACAGCACGATACACTGTAAGATCCTTTGGAATCAGGAGAAATGAGAAGATTGCTGTTCATTGCACGGTTCGTGGGGCCAAAGCAGAGGAAATTCTGGAGAAGGGGTTGAAGGTGAGAACATGGCTGGTCCGGATGTTTGATTTGTGAAAGAACAAAACTTAATCTGTACCCACTGAAGAGATGTGTCCTTTTGATGCTCTAGTGACAGGCCAGTCAGGGATGGGAAGGGTTGGGGTGGCAGCCCTGTCTGATACGCGGGCTGCTGTGTTGGCAGGGTTTCTCTATCGGGTTGCTGTCTCCTCCTTACTTAAGGATGCAGTTGGTGCAGTTGCTCCTTTTGTTCTGTCTCTGCTGCTGTGATTTATGAACAGGCAAAAATCGTAGGACTAAAGACTTGTGTAAGCAAGCTGTGGATCTGGTAACAGTTGGGGGCTTCTGTTTGTGTCAGGAATGAAATAGTGACTGACAACATGTGTTTCAGGTGCGAGAATATGAGCTGAGGAAAAACAACTTCTCAGACACTGGGAACTTTGGCTTTGGAATCCAGGAGCACATCGATCTGGGCATTAAATATGACCCCAGTATTGGTATCTACGGCTTGGACTTTTACGTGGTGCGTATTCCCTGCTTCTCTGCAGCTCCTGGGCTTTTGTGAAAGCTCTGGAAGGAACCTAGAATAACTGGCTCACATAAACTTGTTGCCAAGTGCTAGAAGATAGAAAAATGTCAAGAAAATTCGAGTCTAAAGTGAGATTCCCAGGATTTTTTCCTGCTGTAAAATCCCTGATTTATGACGTATCGCAAAGCCTCTTCAGAAACAAGTACGTGGCCCTTACTGCTGCGCCTGGGCTTAGCACTGAAACAGCTGTGCTGGGGTTGGGGAAGGAGGGAGGAGCAGAGGCCTCGGGAATGCAGACAGGGATGGGCTGTGTTGCTGGAAGATCCTCTGCGTGTGGAGGGCTGGGTCGCTACCAGCAGTGGTGGCTGGCATGTTTGAGTCGCTCCGTTCTGCTGTGCCTCACGCTAAGCTTCTGAAATAGAGGGAAGCTGTTCCGTATGCGTTGGCAGTGCAGTGCGCTGGATCTGTTCTTGAGAGCTGAGGCCTCCGAGTATGGAATAGCGCATCTTCCACACTCCTTTTGGTTTCTCCGAGTCAGTGTATGTGCTAATTTCTCCAGCCTAGGAGCTGTCCCTGTGAGTTTACCAGGCTGCTTGGAAGTTTACTTAGCTTCCAGTTTACACTGAGGCTGTAGAAGATAATGTGACACAGGCAACGAGATGTTACGGATGTGGAAATTGTAGCCTTCCCTACTAGAAAACTGGTAAATCAATAAATGTCAGAGTGAAACAGTGCTGTGGGCCTCCTCTCTGGCAGGTGCTGGGCAGGCCTGGCTTCAGCATTGCTGACAAGAAACGCAGGACTGGCAACATTGGAGCCAAGCACAGAATTGGAAAGGAAGAAGCCATGCGCTGGTTTCAGCAAAAGGTAAAATCCATCTTTATTTTTGCATCCCAAGAGTTTACTAGCAAGGATCAGCAAAATCCTTTACCACGGAAGGACTGGAACAAGTCACTGAGTGGGAGACCTTGATCTTGACCTTAAAGCATTGACTTTTGTGCTGTGGGGTGGTAGAAGCCGCATTTGAGAGCGAGTGCTGTTCATGCCCCTTTTCTCTGTGCTGAACTGAAAGAGCAGCTCTTGCAGGATAGCTGGAAGTGTCAGCTCTTGTGCAGATCTGTTTCCCGTGGTTTTTGAGGGCGTTACGTGGATCACAAGTGACGAGGCAGAGTTAGAGTTTGTTTGGCAGCTCCTAGCTCAGCTGCCAGACTTACAGGATGGAGTGATCCACATAAACCAAATTCTTGGGTTTGTCTGTTCATAGGTCTCTGACAGACTGGATGATGAATGGGAGATGCCAAAAGCTTGACTGGAAATGTTGAGGGATGGGGATCAGTGATGCTTTTTCAGAGGTGGAAAGGGTGGGCAGTCTGTCCAGAGGCTCTTTGCTGGCCACTCCGAGATCTACATCAGCCATACCCTGTACAGGGAGGGTCCAGCCTGCTTTGGCTGAGTGGCCTTCCCCCCTCATGCCTGGTTCTGCTTACTGCAGTGTAGTTACCTCCAAGGGCCAAGTCCTGGGACTGTGGAAGAGACAAGTGGAGTCCTGATCAGATCAGCCTGGGAAGGGTGGGGCTGCGTGTTTCATGGGGCTGATGAGTGGAGTTAATGCTATGTAAACAAGGCCCCACTTGGAAGTTAATAGCACAGCAGTGAAGTAGAAAGGCAGGCAGCTGCTCATGTGGGAGAGCTGGGGTTTGATGTTGGTGTTGTCTGGCTGGCCCGGAATGAACGTGGTGACAGTTTCCTGGGATAGCAGTTCTGCATCTTTACCTGATGGTACTTTCTCACTTGGTTCTTTCCTGTTTATTCTCACAGTATGATGGCATCATCCTTCCTGGTAAATGAGCAGTTCCTGTTGCCAAAAAAGAAAATAAATTTTTCTAACCCCTAACTTGTGTTGTGAATTTTTGTGGGGGCTTCTCCTGACCCGGGAGGCTGCAGGGAGCAGGGGTCACTCGTGCTGTAAGGCAGCAGCAGGACGGGGACTGATGCTGTGTGCCTGAAGAGAAGGTGCTGTTCTTGAGGAGCGCGTGTTGGATTTACATGGATAGTCTCTGCTTCCGTACTGTCCAGCTGCACAAAAAAATGTGTAGAGCTTTACTGGAGTATGCAGAGAGGGATTCTCCTAAAAAATCCATGCTTTTTGATCACTGGAGTTGTAGAGCAGAATTTCTGGAGGGTTAAATTCCTGAGGGGAAGGAAGTAAGTCAGTGTGCTGTCGGATCCTCTGCAGGCCAACCTTCAGTCTTAGGGCAGTCTGCTCTTTAAAGAACGCGGGATCTTGAATTAGGAAGAAACTCGGTTGCTCTAGGAACTGTTGGGAGTGGAAGGTCAATGGGAAGCCAAAGGAAATAGAATGTGTATCCTTTAATAAAGCAGAGCTGTAAAGCCAAAATGCAGCTGTGGGTTCTTTGTCTAAGCAAAGTGGGGCTGAGCAAGGCTTGTGCTGGCAGGGCTGAGGCTTTTGAGCTGAGATTAAAACCTGGCACAAGAGGGGGCTGAGGGCAAGCAGAAAGCCCTGATCCATGCTGCTGTGGGTAGCTGAGTGACCTGAGTGCCTGTGCCTGCAGCTGGTGGAGTTTTACCTCGTGGATCGTGGTGCTCCTAACGTGCTGTAGAAATCCTGAAGCAATTTTTGGATGTGCTTAGATTGTGTAGGGTGGATCTTGATTGGTTTGTTGAAGTGTTTTAGGAGGGTGAACTTAACACTGCTTTAATGACACTGCCAGATAGTTTTCCCCTGCAAAGGAATGGCCTTTATTGTTTTAAAGAGAAAATTCACTGCAGGACAACACAGCTCACGCAGGCGGAGTGCAGCAACACCCTTGGCTCTGCCCTCTAGCATTCTGTCCTCTCCTGCGTCTTGCAGTGGAAAGACAGGAACAAGCTCGCTGCCATCCCAGTCTGCACACGCTGGCACTGGGGTTGTGCAGTGTTGTCTCGGGCTTGACTGTTCCCTTGTTCAAACCTCTTGGGAGGTTGCCAGCGTGGTTCAGGATGGAGCCCACTCCAAAACACACAGAGCAGCGCGTGCTAAAATGCGCAGAGGAGAGTCGAAACTGAACAGAAATTATGTTCTCCCTCGGTACAGCTTGATGCAAACTCTTGAGACCGAGAGTTCTCGGAGGAAGATCAGTACCTTTATGTGAACTGTAGCTGCTGCAAGTGGCTGTTTGGTGAGCTGCTGAAGGAAGTGACAATAAGCCTGCTCTGCTGAAGGTCTGGTCTTGGCGCCCTCGTGGCACGTTGGCTTCCTGGCTTTGATTTCACTGTGTTGTGCAAAAACAACCGGAACAAAACCGAGAGTGTTTGCCAGGATGCTCGGCAGCACATAGTTGCCTCGGCCTGAGATGTGGGGATGAGCTGTTCTGGGATCGTGTGTAAATGTGCTCTAGTACCCGAATCTGTTACCCGGGGACACTGGCCTCAGTGTGTGGCTGTAGTGTGACGTGTTGTGGGTTTGAGACCAGGAATAACCACCGCCCTCTCTCCAGCTTGTCACAGGTTATCGCTGCTCTGGGGCTGGGGGTCAGGGTTTGGAGTCCTGTGGTGTGGCTTGTCCTGTGGCCAATGCAAGAGCCCTGCCCTGCAGTGCTGTCAGGGGCGTCTGCAGTGCCTGAAAGGACAGCCAGCGTTTCCCTAAAGATGGGGAATGGGTAAATATTCAATGTCTTTCCCTTGAACAAATGCTGTGTGAGCAACTTTCCTGTACCTAATACTAACACTACTGTTGTTTAGAAAGGGTCTTGTGCTACTATTCCTACAGTAGAACTTCTGTGTTATTCTAGGGTTTTTTTTCTTTTTTTCCACTTTTTCCAATCCGCATGGTGATAAGAGTTCTGCAGGCTGAGGAGAACTCTTCTGTCCTGCTTGCTTCTGTGCCTGCCCTGCTTGAACAATCCCTGCTTATGCTGTGCGCTGGAGATGCAGGCAGCTCAGAAGACACTCTCCTAGAGCCCAAAACTTGCCATGATGGAACAAGAGTGTTTGAGACTTCGCAGTGACTCCAAACGTCAGGGTGGCTCCCCATCCAGCTATGCCATGCCCCTCAGCTCTCTTCCCTGGCTGCTGGCCTAAGCCACATGGCACCCACGGCTCTTTATGTGCTGGCTGCTGCCGAGGCCACAGAGCTGGCCCGTGACCTGGAGCTCGGGGAGCGTGGGAGGATGATAGTGCAGCACGAGACCCCCACGGTGGCCTCGGGGAGGTCCTCATCCTCGTCCCACTCATTGAGGTCAGGATTGTAGCACTGCACACACTTCTGATACTTCCTCCCACACTCGTTCCAGCCACCCACCAGGCACAAACGCCCCTCCAGCAGAGCCACCCCGGCCGTGCTGACCCCCGTGGGCAGGGGTGCCATGTAACTCCACTGCCCCGTTACCGGGCTGTAGCACTCCACAGACATCACGTCCACCCGCTCGCCCTGGGGACCCAGCTGGCTCCCCCCTAGCACATACGCTCGGTCGGCCACAGTGGCTGCGCAGTGCCAGCCCCGGGGGGTGCCGAGCATAGCCTTCTCCCTCCAGGCATCGGCGTTGGGCTCGTATCAGCACACAGTGCGGGAATAGGCATGGTTGATGTAGCCGCCGGTTACCAGCAGCTTGCCGTTGAGGAGGGTGGTGGCGTGGCAGCAGCGCGGCGTCTCCAGGTTTGCCACGCTCTGCCAACTGTTGGTGGTGGGGATGTAGCACTCGACAGACGTTAACGTGCCCTCAGCGTTGCGCCCTCCGACGGCGTAGAGGAGCCCGTTGCAGGCGCTGAGGCTGAAGTGTGTCCTTCTGTGCTGCATGCTGGCCAGGTGCAGCCAGGTGTTGAAGCGCGGGTCATACCTGGGGGACGAAGGGCAGAGCTGTCTGTCCTGGGCTAGCATGGGAGCTGGGGGGAGAAGAGGGGCCTGCCAAACATCTGCCTTCAGAGGAGGCAACTCGTGCTCTGGAAGAGCCTCTGCCTTCTCCAGCAGTCAAACAGCATCTGGACAGGCAGTGCAGATGGAGATGATGGCGCTGCATAGGACTGGACCCTGCCAGTGACTGCTCTGTCCCTTGGGACAGCCCAGCATTGTTCCTGCCACCACAAACTCCAGCCTGGCTTGGAAATGGCGAGTGATCCGAATCTGAGGTGTCCTCAAGCACTGTCACTGTCCCCTCTGTTGGGTCTTGGCAGGTAGAAGAGGACCTTGGGGCAGGTCTTCCCTGCCCACCCTGCCAGGCCAAAGCCAGGCACGTGATAAGGAGCCAGCTCCTTGTGTGCCCACGAGATGGCAGAGGGACCTGGAGCTGCTGTGTCCCCACAGCAATGTCACAGGGACTGAGGCCAGGCTGGGAAAGGTGGATAAGTCAGAAATAGAAAGGAGACCTGTTGGTGGGTCCCTGAAATCTCACTTGGGGCAGGAAAAAGAGCCCAAAGACAGCTCCTAATGGAGGGGTGGTGATCGTGGCGTGGAGGGCTGGCCTGGAGCAGTGCCAAGGACGTGTGTGGACCCTCAGGCGGCTGAGCCAAGCCGTGGGCAGAGCCACCAAGAAGCTCAGGTTTAGGTTGCAAACAAAATAGTGATGTCCTCTTGCCATGGTTACTTCTCTTTTCTTTGAACAGTAATCCCCTGGTGATCCAGTGACAGGTTTATGGGGATTTAGGAAACCAACCTTGTCATTAAATGATGAAAAAAGGAAGGGAGGTGGAGAGAAGAAAGCCCTTAAGGCAACAGGAATCCTACAGACAGTAAATCTACTTTCAAATCATTCCAGACAAACCAGAGACCTGGTGGAGGCTGCCACTGGCGTGAGGAACAGCCAGCAGGTGAAAAGGGGAGCTCCCAGCGTAACAGAATGGGTTACTTCCAAATAACAAGAACCCCCAATTCTCCCCGAGTCTCCCAGTGCAGCTCCCTGTGCTGGGCCTTGCTCTGCTAGTCCCCCCTGGCAGTGTTATCCCAGAGGCCAGACCTCCCTGCTGGTTACTGGTAGCAAAGAGGAACCTTTCAGACACACTGTCCCTCACCCCGTGGCCAGGTGGAGCCCGTCTTACCTGCTCAGGCTATTGACTGCATGCTTGGCCTGGTTCCTGGCATCGTTCTGGTCTTCACCACCCGCGATGTAGATGAACCCATCCATCACCACCACGCACTGGTTAAAACTCTTCGCTGGCATCTCTGTCAGCTTGTTCCAGTTTCCCTCTGCGTCCCTGTAGCTGATCTCCCTGCTAAGAGCTTTCTCAGTCAATGCTGGACGACCCCCAACTGTGACAAGTACCCTCTGGCCTCCCCGTATCCTGGTTCTCCGAGACTGAAGACTGTTCTGTTGGTGGGGGAGTAGGTGGTAATTCATAGCATCCACGAGGAGCTTGTGGCACTGCGGATCTTGCATCATGCGTGGCACGGGTTGCACGTGGTTGACCAGGTCTGGAGCCGAGATTGTGCCAAACCGGATGTTGCTCAGGAGGTCAGCAGCGTATCGAACCCGTTTTGGGTCAAACTCCAGCCACTTGACAGCGATCTGGAAAGCTGCAACCTCACTGGGTATCTGCAGGCCATCATCCATCAGCAGCTCATTGATCTGGTCAAAGGGGAGTTTCATGAACTGGTCGGTCTTGGAGAACTCCAGAAAGTTTTCCCGGATAAATTTCCGGGTGGCGTCTTTCACCTGGTTGAGGCCGTACGTGGACGAGATGTTAGCGATGTACACGCAGTTCTCCACAGCAATCTCCCGAACAAGGAAGTCGCTTCCTGCAGCTGCGTGGCCGCGGCGATGGTGCTGCCGATGGTGTAGAGCGAGAGGCTCAGCTTCCCCGTGTAGGCGTAGGTGATGATGGTGGTCAGGCCCAGCGGGGACACGTCGCAGAGCTCCACCTGGTGCAGCTGAGGGTCTCTCTGCAGCAGGCGGTGGAAGTACTCGCTGCAGGAAGCCAGGACGAGTTTATGCACCTCGAAGGACTTGGTTTTGGTGGCAATGGTGAGATCGCAGAGGAACCGCTTCTGGCGCATCTGGTTCATCCCCTCCAGAAGGCTGGCTCCATGGTCTGGCGCTTCAACCTCTGTGGCCGTGCAGTGGAAGCCGTTGGAGCCGCTGTCGTACAAACTATTCAGGTGATTGAGGTGTTCGACGTCTAGCAAAGCATCTTCCACCATCACCGGGGTCATGGATGCATCCTCTTTATCCACCTTGGGCTTCTTGGAGGTTTTCTTTTTGGGTGCCATCTTGGTAGGATCAGAATGGGACCTGGTGAGAAAGGAGAGGTGAGGGGCCTTGTAGCAGCGGTATGGCTGTCCTTCTGCTCTTCAAGACATTTAATTAAGCAAACGAAAAACTCCCACTGACTCCTATTCCCTTTGGGTCAGGCCAAGGGAAGGATGGAAAGCCCTGTACCCCTCTGAGCTGTGTTAAAGGCATTGAGGGCCATGACTGCCAGAGGGAATCCTCAGCTCTCAACCAGTACCGTCACCTTTGCTGCGTCAGAAACAGACTGAGGATTTTGGGTGGTTGCCTTGGGAAAACCGGGAGCACCCACTGGTTGCTGGAGTGATGCAGACTCCAGACAGCGAGGTGGCGAGCTCAGGGGGTGTTTTGCCTGACTCAGGTGCATGTCAGGGGGGTGGATCAAGGTCAGGCAACTCTGACAGAGGTTCCCACACAGCAGCGAGGTGAGATGAACCCCAGCACTGCAGCAGGGGCTAGAAAAGGGTGTTCATTTCCCCCCTGGGCATGCTGAGGCACTGCTGGGTAACCAGTGGGGCCAGTTGCCCTTTGGGGGGACCAGTTTAGAGTGCAGGTGAAAAAAGAACAAATCAACAACAAGAAAAATCCAGCTTCTCAATGTTCCCAAATTCCAGCTTGAAACTCAGTTGGAAACTCGGCAGTGACCTCGGCTCGTCTGAGGGAGCTTGGAGCAGCCAATATATGAGGGAACAAATCTACCGGCCAGAAATAGCTGTTACTGCGCTGTCTCACATGTCTGGGTGCTGTTTATTACGCTTGGCCATAAAGATCAGGTTTCTTGGAACTGAGTAATCAGCTCGTATTTAGCGCTAGGCAAAGAAGAAGGGAGGCATTATGAGACCAGCAAAAATATGGAGAAGGGAAAAGTTTAGTAAAAGGCCCTGCCAGGAAAGAGAACCCAGGGTGGAGTCCGAGGGGGAGAGCAGCAGTGCCGGCGTGGCCGAGCTCGGCTGGCCGCAGTGAGCAGAGGGAGCAGGGACAGCACAGGCATCCACAGACCCTGCTCTCTCCCGGCCAAAAGGATTCAGGAGAAAAGCCCCAGGCACTTGAGCCATCCCTGCTATTGCGGTGTTTCACAGGGCTACCCCGATTTACTCATCTATCACAGTGTCATATCCTGGAGTGGACATCAGTCCTGAAACTGGGATGCAAATGCCGTGCGCGCCTGTGCGTTTGGGTATGAAAGGGTTTCTGACACCCAGCTCAGGCCTGGGAAAAGGAACTGGGATTTACCCTTTCAGAGCAAAACCCCTTTGATGTTTCCAAACACACATTTTGTTCAGGCTATGCATTCCCCAGGAAAATTTGCAGTTTCAGCTTTTCAGCTGGATTTGAGGTGAAAATGTAGGTTAAATATTGGAATTTCCCAAGAAATTACAATGTTTTTCCAGGCCTTCTGTCCAGATCCCTCAAACCTGCATCTCTCTGAGATGTGACACTGCAAGAACCTCCTTGCTGCCAAACAAACTCAAAGAGAAGCAGGACTTGTCCTGGAGGGAGGTGGCCGTCCTGCTGCTCCCCAGCTGAGACCGGTGCCAGCAGGATGAGTGCCACGTTGAGGTCTGCAACCTGCTGGGGCAGGAGGGTTTGGCCTTGTGAAATATGTGACCCGGGTGTCAGCTCCCACCGGGCTGCGCTGAGGATCTGCCCAATCCCTTCTACTCCCCAAACTGCCTTGATTTTGGCCTTTTTTTTTTTTTTTTTTTAACAGAAACAAGCACGGTCCCTGCAGCAAGCCACTGTTTCTGCCCATAAAACTGCTCACACCCCTTTCAGGGGCTCCAGACCTCATTTTAGAGAGGTGACACCAGCGCTCAGATGGTGTCCTGTGGGCCTGATCATCACAGTTGGGCAAGCTGATCTCCACACGCCTTAACACCTTCGGGAAACCCCAGCAGTGCGGCTGGCTTTCTCCATCCCCTGTCCACCCCGCTCAGGAGTCAAGGGGGAAAGTTTTTGTGGGATAAAACAGAGACCTTCCAATTGCATTAGAAGTACAATGGAGCTGTGAGAAGTTTTGGGCTCATACTGATGTCCGTGGGATCCCGTCTGTCTCTTTGGGCACCTCTGAGACTCCAATTTGAAGCATGTGTTCATGTTATTCCGGTGTCTGGTTGCAGGAGGCCAGAGCGACCTTTACTACCTGCAGTTAATTTAAAATGGGACATCACTGCTGCTTCTGATTGAAACACCACTGTAGTGACTTGAAAGGAGTATTTTTCCTACAGATTAATCCTGGCTGCTGGATTAATCTAGGGAGCTGGAATGGTTTGAAGAAATTTCAAAGGGCCCAGAAAGAAAGGACGGAAGACAAAGCTTTTTCTATCTGTTTAAATGTCTCTTAAATGTCAGTAGTTGTCCTCACATCCTTCCAGTGCTGCTAATCTCAGCCCTGCACCATATTACTGAGCTAACAGCAAAGCAGGACCTACACTGTGTGAATCAGTATCTTCACAAAGTTACAGCAGGCTTATTTTCTTTCATATCTAACCAAACAGAGCCCCTCTCCTTCACCCGCTCCTGTCCCTGGCCCTGTGTTCAAGCAGGGTCTGAGTTACAGCGAGCACCGAGCTGGCCTGGAAAACTACCTGGACACTGCAGCTCTGGGCACTGTTTTGCTGTCAGTAATTCCTCCAGCCCCATGTTAGAAAACAACAAAGTCCTTCCCCATGCCATCATTTCCATTATTCAGCAGTTCCCGTGCCCCACGCAAGGTCTCTGCAAATCCTGCTAGGTGAGCTCTGGCTCCCTGTGACTCATCTCTAGGCCGGGTCTGCTCCTTACCTTGCTGTTAAGGCCGGTTACTCCGGGGGGAAGCTCTGACCAGCACAGGGCTCTGTAGGTTGAGAGACGGAGACCCTCAACTTTGCCCACACAACATCCTCCTCCCTCCTCTCCCCTCCCAGCCAGCTGACCGCTCTTATCACGTCTACATTTACAGCAGGCTTTTAGGGTGACGTGAGGACAGCCGCCCTCAGCCGAGTCCCCAGAGACATGGAAAGGGCTGGATTCAGGTAGCGCAGCTCCAGCCAAGGGCATCGTCGCGGCCGGCGACAGGAGAAGGCAGTAGACCCAAGGCTGGGCATGACGACCTGGCCACTGCCAAGGGAAAGGCAACGAGGAGGCAGCCAAAGGCCTGGCTCCACCCCGGAGGGGGTCACCAGGGCATGTGGGGATAAGCGGGGGGACATCGCCCTGCTAATGCCTTCCCTGCTCTCCTGAATAAGTGGAGGGGAAGGCAACTCCCAGCCCC